TCTTTGGCTTCTCATTTTTTTTCTTTCGAGCCAAGATAAACCTGTTTACTGCCTCCTGGCACTTTTGGGTGACATAGTCCATCATGTCTTGACAATTGACAATTCAGTGTCAGAGTAGTTAGTAAATGGAATGCATTAGGCAGTGATGTGGTGGAGGCTGACTCCATACACAGCTTCAAGTGTAGATATGATAGAGCCCAATAGGCTCAGGAACCTGATCCAAACTATTCTCATATATCTCCCAGGTACACAAGCCCCTACACCCGGGTACACAAGTCCCTACACCCGGGTACACAAGTCCCTACACCCCGGTACACAAGTCCTTACACCCAGGTACACAAGCCCCTACACCCCGGTACACAAGCCCCTACACCCCGGTACACAAGCCCCTACACCCCGGTACACAAGCCCCTACACCCAGGTACACAAGCCCCTACACCCCGGTACACAAGCCCCTACACCCAGGTACACAAGCCCCTACACCCAGGTACACAAGCCCCTACACCCAGGTACACAAGCCCCTACACCCAGGCACACAAGCTCCTACACCCAGGTACACAAGCCCCTACACCCAGGTACACAAGCCCCTACACCCAGGTACACAAGCCCCTACACCCAGGTACACAAGCCCCTACACCCAGGTACACAAGCCCCTACACCCAGGTACACAAGCCCCTACACCCAGGCACACAAGCTCCTACACCGAGGTACACAAGCCCCTACACCCCGGTACACAAGCCCCTACACCCAGGTACACAAGCTCCTACACCCCGGTACACAAGTCCCTACACCAGGTACACAAGCTCCTACACCCCGGTACACAAGTCCCTACACCCAGGTACACAAGCCCCTACACCCAGGTACACAAGCCCCTACACCCAGGTACACAAGCTCCTACACCCGGTACACAAATAACGCCAAAATCACTATTCGTGCTTCGCTATGCTGGATGGAATTTGTAATAAAATATAAAAGTCGGCTTTTCTCACAATATTATTTCTTCAGGTTAATTGTTTTAATGAAAAAAAAGGTAAGTTTACATTAAAATTGTTGAGTGGAAGACGGGCACAATACCAACACTTTCCCTTCAGAGCGTCACGTTGAGAAGTCAAGAAAACATTGAGGAGTTGGAGTGTTGGTGCCGGAGGCGGCTAGTTCATTATGTACCCCTTCTTCTTAAAAAGAACGTCACTTTTGGCTGGTATGCGCGGCGCTATGGCTAAATTTGGACGTAATTTGAAATGAAATCGACTCGCAAAAGTGACGTTCTGTTCCGTTTTCTATTTGAGTCGTCCGGCGTACGCGCAGAGGTTAGAAGAGGACACTTTAAATTCACGTTTTTCATAACGTTTTGAAACTTTATGAGAATTTCCTGCCCACCTAACCTATCAGAGGACCCTTAACTTACTGTTGTTGAAAAAAAATCCCAAATTTATTTTCCAACATTTACCCCGTTCTCATCCTGTGAGCCGTAGCGCAAAAAGGAATACAGAGGTCACAAAAGGTCATGCTGCTCAAATAACCTAAGCTCGTGGAGATGTGACTAACCCTGTATTTACTTAAAAGGGTCGTTGGGTCATGCCTAACATTTGCTAGAAGTTGCTTGGCTTAGTTACCGTTTATCTTTATCAATAAATTACAATGTTTGGCCGTGATGCTAGCCTCATTAAACTTTGAAGGGTGACTCTTGGGGCTAAAGGGACTGTCATAGGGGAGGGGGGAGTGTCGAAGTCGGCCTCAGTGCCCCTCTTTAAGACGACGTCGACTTCCATGAAGTCGACGTGGTGAAGAGGAAATGGTAGCCGCCGAGACCAGACTTTCTTCATCATTACAAAATTAAGTTGGCAGATATGCCCTCTAGGGGGGCCTCCCAACACTTAAATAGCGCTACCTTTTGTGGTCGACCCGGGCACCACCGGGTATGTCATCCAGTAAGCGGAAAAAAACACCATCATTCCCAATGGCTAAAGAGACGACGCCATGTTTGGCGCCACAAGCGCAGGTGTAGGCGGAAGCACCTGGCGTGCCTCGGGCCACACCTGTGAAGGTCACCGGTGGGAATACTGAGCGGCCGCTGAGACACTTTCACTCAGGTGAGTCTCACTCAGACTACACCTGGCACCTCTGAACCCCCCCCCCCCCACCTCCCTCTCTTATTGTATACATTGACATGTCACGAAGTTGTGATCATTCTATATTTAACGTTAGTTCAACATAACAGATGAGGAATGTTAGGTAAACATTAGATGAGAATGTTGACAACAGAGAGTCCCAGCAGCAACAGTGAGTCCCAGCAACAACAGTGAGTCCCAGCAACAACAGTGAGTCCCAGCAACAACAGTGAGTCCCAGCAACAACAGTGAGTCCCAGCAACAACAGTGAGTCCCAGCAACAACAGAGAGTCCCAGCAACAACAGAGAGTCCCAGCAACAACAGAGAGTCCCAGCAACAACAGTGAGTCCCAGCAACAACAGTGAGTCCCAGCAACAACAGTGAGTCCCAGCAACAACAGAGAGTCCCAGCAACAACAGTGAGTCCCAGCAACAACAGTGAGTCCCAGCAACAACAGTGAGTCCCAGCAACAACAGAGAGTCCCAGCAACAACAGTGAGTCCCAGCAACAACAGTGAGTCCCAGCAACAACAGAGAGTCCCAGCAACAACAGAGAGTCCCAGCAACAACAGTGAGTCCCAGCAACAACAGTGAGTCCCAGCAACAACAGTGAGTCCCAGCAACAACAGTGAGTCCCAGCAACAACAGTGAGTCCCAGCAACAACAGTGAGTCCCAGCAACAACAGCGAGTCCCAGCAACAACAGTGAGTCCCAGCAACAACAGAGAGTCCCAGCAACAACAGAGAGTCCCAGCAACAACAGTGAGTCCCAGCAACAACAGTGAGTCCCAGCAACAACAGTGAGTCCCAGCAACAACAGTGAGTCCCAGCAACAACAGTGAGTCCCAGCAACAACAGCAGAGTCCCAGCACCAACAGTGAGTCCCAGCAACAACAGTGAGTCCCAGCAACAACAGTGAGTCCCAGCAGCAATAGTGAGTCCCAGCAGCAACAGTGAGTCCCAGCAACAACAGTGAGTCCCAGCAACAACAGTGAGTCCCAGCAACAACAGTGAGTCCCAGCAACAACAGTGAGTCCCAGCAACAACAGTGAGTCCCAGCAACAACAGCAGAGTCCCAGCACCAACAGTGAGTCCCAGCAACAACAGTGAGTCCCAGCAGCAACAAGAGTCCCAGCATCAACAGTGAGTCCCAGCAGCAACAGTGAGTCACAACAGTTATCAGACAGAGACAATGACACAAAGTACAGAGACACTAATCCCTGGCACACGACACCAGGAGTGTCAGGTGAGGCGACGCTGATCCTTGGCACACGACACCAGGAGTGTCAGGTGAGGCGACGCTGATCCCTGGCACACGACACCAGGAGTGTCAGGTGAGGCGACGCTGATCCCTGGCACACGACACCAGGAGTGTCAGGTGAGGCGACGCTGATCCCTGGCACACGACACCAGGAGTGTCAGGTGAGGCGACGCTGATCCCTGGCACACGACACCAGGAGTGTCAGGTGAGGCGACGCTGATCCCTGGCACACGACACCAGGAGTGTCAGGTGAGGCGACGCTTCACAGGACACAGCAGACCTCGAGTGTCATGGAAGTCTTCTCTTTTAATTGGCCAAATAACAAGGCCAAGTTCCAGGTCTGACTCTTGGGTAAAAATGGAGAAATTAAAACAAGTACTATAAACTTAAACCTGTCGAACCGTACTATAGAAAGGAAAAAAAAATAAAAATTTGGGAGTAATCATGTCGGGAAATCTTCTCGGTCGCCCTCACCACCTCCAAGGCTGGTCTGGGTCCAACCCGTTCTCGCAAATTTAATAAGTCAATATTGACTTATTAGTTGCGTGCATAAGTGACATACTAAACATAACAGTTTCCCTTGAAAAGCTTCATAGAAAACACCGACCTTACCTAACCTACTTAGTATGTTAAAATAAGCATCTTATAGCTTCGTAATTACAATTGTTACTTAACCTATTATAGGTATAGGTTAGGCAATAATTGTAATTACGAAGCAATAAGATGCTTATCTTAACATACTAAGTAGGTTAGGTAAGGTCGGTGTTTTCTATGAAGCTTTTCAAGGGAAACTATTATGTTAAGTATGTCACCTATGCACATATTTAATAAGTCAATATTGACTTATTAAATTTGCGAGAACGGGTTGCTGGGTCACCATCACTTGGACGGGGAAGTGACAGGTGGTGGTGAAGGTGACGGGAGATAGTGACGGGTGGTGGTGGGTGATGGTGACGGGTGGTGGTGGGTGATGGTGACGGGTGGTGGTGGGTGATGGTGACGGGTGGTGGTGGTGATGGTGACGGGTGGTGGTGGGTGATGGTGACGGGTGGTGGTGGGTGATAGTGACGGGTGGTGGTGGTGATGGTGACGGGTGGTGGTGGGTGATAGTGACGGGTGGTGGTGGGTGATGGTGACGGGTGGTGGTGGTGATAGTGACGGGTGGTGGTGGTGATGGTGACGGGTGGTGGTGGTGATGGTGACGGGTGGTGGTGGTGATGGTGACGGGTGGTGGTGGGTGATGGTGACGGGTGGTGGTGGTGATGGTGACGGGTGGTGGTGGGTGATGGTGACGGGTGGTGGTGGTGATGGTGACGGGTGGTGGTGGGTGATGGTGACGGGTGGTGATGGTGACGGGTGGTGGTGGGTGAGACGGGTGGTGGTGGGTGATGGTGACGGGTGGTGGTGGGTGATAGTGACGGGTGGTGGTGGGTGATGGTGACGGGTGGTGGTGGGTGATGGTGACGGGTGGTGGTGGTGATAGTGACGGGTGGTGGTGGTGATGGTGACGGGTGGTGGTGGGTGATAGTGACGGGTGGTGGTGGGTGATAGTGACGGGTGGTGGTGGTGATGGTGACGGGTGGTGGTGTTGACAGGAGGTCACTCCATGCAGCTCCCCACCACCAACAGTCTGGCGCGAACTGCCACGCGCGAACTACATCATCCCGGCCACGTTGCGCACCCGCCAAACAGTTCACAGTGACTGTGTGACAAGTGAGACTGGCACAGTTCTGCCACTGTGAGCGTCACGGCACCCTGGGGAGCTTGGCACCACTGGCTCCAGGTGCCACAAGACACACACACACAACACACAACTGGTAAAGGCAAAAGGGTTTGTTATTGCCAGATGTGTAGTGCATGACAGGTGGTTAGACAAGGTTGTTGCTCCCTCTCCCTCACTAGTGCCAGTGTTGTTACTCTCCCTCACTAGTGCCAGTGTTGTTACTCTCCCTCACTAGTGCCAGTGTTGTTACTCTCTCTCACTAGTGCCAGTGTTGTTACTCTCCCTCACTAGTGCCAGTGTTGTTACTCTCCCTCACTAGTGCCAGTGTTGTTACTCTCCCTCACTAGTGCCAGTGTTGTTACTCTCCCTCACTAGTGCCAGTGTTGTTACTCTCTCTCACTAGTGCCAGTGTTGTTACTCTCCCTCACTAGTGCCAGTGTTGTTACTCTCCCTCACTAGTGCCAGTGTTGTTACTCTCCCTCACTAGTGCCAGTGTTGTTACTCTCCCTCACTAGTGCCAGTGTTGTTACTCTCCCTCACTAGTGCCAGTGTTGTTACTCTCCCTCACTAGTGCCAGTGTTGTTACTCTCTCTCACTAGTGCCAGTGTTGTTACTCTCTCTCACTAGTGCCAGTGTTGTTACTCCCCCTCACTAGTGCCAGTGTTGTTACTCTCCCTCACTAGTGCCAGTGTTGTTACTCTCCCTCACTAGTGCCAGTGTTGTTACTCCCCCTCACTAGTGCCAGTGTTGTTACTCTCCCTCACTAGTGCCAGTGTTGTTACTCTCCCTCACTAGTGCCAGTGTTGTTACTCTCCCTCACTAGTGCCAGTGTTGTTACTCTCCCTCACTAGTGCCAGTGTTGTTACTCTCTCTCACTAGTGCCAGTGTTGTTACTCTCTCTCACTAGTGCCAGTGTTGTTACTCCCCCTCACTAGTGCCAGTGTTGTTACTCTCCCTCACTAGTGCCAGTGTTGTTACTCTCCCTCACTAGTGCCAGTGTTGTTACTCCCCCTCACTAGTGCCAGTGTTGTTACTCTCCCTCACTAGTGCCAGTGTTGTTACTCTCCCTCACTAGTGCGGGTGTTGTTACTCTCCCTCACTAGTGCCAGTGTTGTTACTCTCTCTCACTAGTGCCAGTGTTGTTACTCTCTCTCACTAGTGCCAGTGTTGTTACTCCCCCTCACTAGTGCCAGTGTTGTTACTCTCCCTCACTAGGGCCAGTGTTGTTACTCTCCCTCACTAGTGCCAGTGTTGTTACTCTCTCTCACTAGTGCCAGTGTTGTTACTCTCTCTCACTAGTGCCAGTGTTGTTACTCTCTCTCACTAGTGCCAGTGTTGTTACTCTCTCTCACTAGTGCCAGTGTTGTTACTCTCTCTCACTAGTGCCAGTGTTGTTACTCTCTCTCACTAGGGCCAGTGTTGTTACTCTCCCTCACTAGGGCCAGTGTTGTTACTCTCCCTCACTAGTGCCAGTGTTGTTACTCTCCCTCACTAGTGCCAGTGTTGTTACTCTCCCTCACTAGTGCCAGTGTTGTTACTCTCCCTCACTAGTGCCAGTGTTGTTACTCTCCCTCACTAGTGCCAGTGTTGTTACTCTCCCTCACTAGTGCCAGTGTTGTTACTCTCCCTCACTAGTGCCAGTGTTGTTACTCTCCCTCACTAGTGCCAGTGTTGTTACTCTCCCTCACTAGTGCCAGTGTTGTTACTCTCTCTCACTAGTGCCAGTGTTGTTACTCTCCCTCACTAGTGCCAGTGTTGTTACTCTCCCTCACTAGTGCCAGTGTTGTTACTCTCCCTCACTAGTGCCAGTGTTGTTACTCTCCCTCACTAGTGCCAGTGTTGCACACATACACACAGACGCATCTACTGCTATTATGTAATTCTTTCCACACACATAAAATGCTAATTAAATATAAGTACTTTCTAGTGTCAAGGAATTCTCAACTTTCTGTTATACTCAATAAGCAACCAGTATGTAGCAGTTTAGTGGCCTGTATATATATATATATATATATATATATATATATATATATATATATATATATATATATATATATATATATATATATGTTAGTATACTTGGTAGCAGTCTTTCTTGTAAACATATGTTGTTAAATATGACCGAAAAGGTAAGATTAATAATTCTAACACGAATTTTCTCAATATATTTGGTAGAGTGAGACAGCTGCGTTTTGGCCACACTTGACTGGTCTTGTTAAATAATGATTGGGCCGGAATACGGACCATAAGAAATTTTGAGAAAATTCGTGTTAGAATTATTAATCTCACTTTTTCGTTCTTATTTAACAATATATATAATATTGTTTACATTCTTGTACAGCCACCAGCACGTGTAGCGTTTCGGGCAAGTCCTTAATCCTATGTTCCCCGGAATACGACTCCCAAATCGTTCAACAACCAGGTACCCATTTTACGGTTGGGTAAACGGGTTCTGTTTCACTTTTTTTGCTCCTGGGTCAGTTTAGTGGATTATGTGGTAATATGTTCCTTGTGGGTCAGTCCACCGGGGGTTGACCTTTCAAACACTATTCTACAAAACCAATCGTGTGGCGCCTGAACCCAGCCGCCCCACTCCACTAAACCTTCACTCACACTGGTGAATGACTTGTAAACGGCACGTTAACAAGACCCACACACACTCACACTCTGGGGGAAAGTGTCACTCTCTCACACTCTGGGGGCAAGTGCCACTCTCTCACACTCTGGGGCAAGTGTCACTCTCTCACACTCTGGGAGCAAGTGCCACTGTCTCACACTCTGGGGGCAAGTGCCACTCTCTACACACTCTGGGGGCAAGTGCCACTGTCTCACAGTCTGGGGCAAGTGTCACTCTCTCACACTCTGGGGGCAAGTGCCACTCTCTACACACTCTGGGGCAAGTGCCACTCTCTACACACTCTGGGGGCAAGTGCCACTCTCTACACACTCTGGGGGCAAGTGCCACTCTCTACACACTCTGGGGCAAGTGCCACTCTCTACACACTCTGGGGCAAGTGCCACTCTCTACACACTCTGGGGGCAAGTGCCACTCTCTACACACTCTGGGGGCAAGTGCCACTCTCTACACACTCTGGGGACAAGTGTCACTCTCTCACACTCTGGGGGCAAGTGTCACTCTCTACACACTCTGGGGACAAGTGTCACTCTCTCACACTCTGGGGGCAAGTGTCACTCTCTACACACTCTGGGGGCAAGTGTCACTCTCTACACACTCTGGGGACAAGTGTCACTCTCTCACACTCTGGGGGCAAGTGCCACTCTCCACACACTCTGGGGGCAAGTGCCACTCTCTACACACTCTGGGGGCAAGTGCCACTCTCTCACACTATCTCACTGGTTCAAGGGGATACACGTGTTAGATTACCAGTTCGAGTGTAAAGTCAGGAGTTATCAATACAGTTTCCCCATAGGTGACCCACACCTGGTGCGAGCCGTCCAGGGTGTGGGTATTAGTGCTGCCTTCCGGAGGTGTGTGGAGGAAGGAGGTCAAGTGTGGTGTGGAGGTATATGAGAGGTAGGGGGTGTGGTAGAGGGGAGGTGGTGTGGTAGAGGGGAGGGGGTGGCGAGGGTGCACTCCATTTACAGTGCCAGGGCTCGTCCTTGTGTCATAACAGTGCCAGGGCTCGTCCTTGTGTCATAACAGTGCCACACACACACACACCTTCCTCCTCTGGCACCCCGGAGTTCCTAGCCTGCTCTACCACACACCATACATTGCCTCAAGTCATTGATGGGAAAAAGTTAGAAGTGTTTGCGTGTGTGTGAAGGACAAGATAATAACGAGGCAAGGGAAAGTTGGTAATGCAGATGAGGCAGACCAACGTGAGGAAATACTCATTATCAGTAAGCAAGTGTGTTGCATATGAGGGAGAGAAGGTGGAAGCACTCACAACTCACAGCTTCAAGAGCAAGTCTGGCAGACTACTGCAACAGGTGCAGACGTGACTGTACCATATAGGTTTAACAGTCCCCTTTGGTGTAATGGTTTAGACCCTCGCCTGGCGTTTCGCCAGCGTTTTGTCCTGGGTTCGTATCCTGGCCGCGGAGGATGTACTGGACTCAAATCGTCAACTGTTGCCTCTGTTTACCCAACAGTAAAATGGGTACCTGGTTGTTAAACAATTTGGCGGGTCTTATTCCGAGTAACATAGGATTAAGGACTTGCACGAGACGCTACACGTGCTGGTGGCTCTATAAGAATGTAACAACTCTTGTATATATAATTATATAAAATATATAGAGTACAGCAGCACTGAGCGGGGAGTCGTGGAGCTGCTGAACTCTTCCCCTAGACCCACAAAGGTAAACATTACACCGAGGCGCTGGCGTCTCCCCTAACACGCCATCCCGTGCTGGGGGAGAGAGCCACCGTGTCACAACGGACCTCAAACAGTGTACTAACACCACCCTAACCTGAGACAAAGAGTCTTAAACGCCCATAAAAAACTTGAAGACGAGCATTATCACGGGGGAAACTAAAGGAATAATGCAATGCTGGAGGTTGTCATTATAACGAGACAAAGGCAGGACATCCCACCCAGATTATCTTAGTGCCTCGGGCTGACCGCCAGTTATTAGTGTTGACCGCAGGCTAGCGTGCTTGACCCACTGCCACTCACCAAGTTCATTGACAGAAAACACTTTGTCTTGGTGTATCAGGTGTAGTACAGTACGAGGAGTGTAGTGTAGTCACTCTTAACAAACTTGCCAACAACAAACCCACACTTACGATACACTATCACTATGCATTCTTCACACAGGTGATATTGCAATTGTGTAAAAATTAGGCTTCCTGAGACGCCGACTGAAAGGTAATGTCCAGGTAAGAGGAGCAGAGTGAAAGTGAGCGCGCGCAAGCGGGAAGGACAGACCATCTACCAGCTGCAGGAGGTGAGGGTCGCCTGTCAAGCTGCCAGGAGGTGAGGGTTGCCTGTCAAGCTGCCAGGAGGAAGTGTACCAGCATCCCTCCATGCCGCTTCCTCACTGCCGGTGCTAAACACCCTCCAGCGTCTACACTACTGACGCTGGGCTCCTGCAGGAGGGACTGGCGTCGAGGAGTGACGCCCTGCAGACCTCCCACACCTGGAGTAGTCACCCCCGGCCAGCCAGGCCCCACACCCAGCTATACTTGGGTGAGTACTTGTACTATGAGGCCACGCTCCTATGTACTCTTATTTACACCTGATTCATGTAAGATGCTTGTAGTCGCATATGATTGTGGCCGACGGAGAGAGAGAGCGACGTAGAGAGAGAGAGAGAGAGAGAGAGAGAGACGTAGAGAGAGAGAGAGCGACGTAGAGAGAGCGAGAGTTAACACATTGCCGAGGAATCGCGTCAAACAACAATGCTAAAACTACACGAGAAGGAAAGTTGACTGTTGCTTGTGTTGAATACTGTAGACGTGAGTGGTAGAGAGGCAGGGTGGTGGTGGCTGGCGCCCCCTGCCGTTCAGAACCTCGTCAGGTTCTAAAACTCTTCCTTTACTCTCGCTCCTCCAACCTCTGGTCACTCACGATGGCCAAATCCTTAATTGTTCTTCCCATCCTCACGCGTGTGATATATATATATATATATATATATATATATATATATATATATATATATATATATATATATATATATATATATATATATATATATATATATATTTTTAGTTTTAACTGATTTTTTTTATTTTAGTGGATTAAGATTTTAGTTGAGTGTGGGAGTAATGTCAACACCTCAGTCGGGGAGTCGGTCGGCCGAGCGGACAGCACGCTGGACTTGTGATCCTGTGGTCCTAGGTTCGATCCCAGGCGCCGGCGAGAAACAATGGGCAGAGTTTCTTTCACCCTATGCCCCTGTTACCTAGCAGTAAAATAGGTACCTTGGTGTTAGTCAGCTGTCACGGGCTGCTTCCTGGGGGTGGAGGCCTGGTCGAGGACCGGGCCGCAAGGACACTAAAAAGCCCCGAAATCATCTCAAGATAACCTCAAGATAACCTGAGGTACAGTAGACACAACAAAGAATTATGAACTACGTAATAAAAGACAGTTTAGTAAGTGGACTAAACTGACGAATGTTTACAATTTCCGCGATGAAGTGTTGCACCGTAAACACTGGTACACCTGAAGTGTTGCACCGTAAACACTGGTACACCTGAAGTGTTGCACCGTAAACACTGGTACACCTGAAGTGTTGCACCGTAAACACTGGCACACCTGAAGTGTTGCACCGTAAACACTGGTACACCTGAAGTGTTGCACCGTAAACACTGGTACACCTGAAGTGTTGCACCGTAAACACTGGTACACCTGAAGTGTTGTGACTGGGGTCACATCCACTGAGAATCTTGGAAGGACGACACAGTGCCTAGGACAAGGAGCGACGCCCTGTGGGAGAGGCGAGTGTGGGGAAAAATAGTGATTAGCTCAGCGCCCATCGATGAACCAGGATTGGGGCAGCTGAACCTCAGGGATTGGAACGGCGACGACGCGAAGGCTTCACGACACCTGAGGACCTGTGGAACGCCCTGGATCGTCGAGGATCGACCCAAGGAAGCGTGGGAACCTCACACCATCGAGGGACAGGCGTCGTGAGCCAGGAGTGTAAGGTAGATCATTTTTCCCTCCCATTACCCCTTGTATGAGTAGGCTAGTTAGGCCACAATATTTACTTGTGTATGTGGCAGCAAGACTTTATTACTTTAATAGTAGAATAGGCTGCAAGGCAGCTTGTGTCCAGGACTGTCAGAGAGGACAGTGTGTATGGATGGCAGGACAGTGAAGAAGAGGTGCCGACGTGGTGAAGAGGCCCTCCTGTGAGAGTGTGAGACTCCTGTCTTCCTGCCCAGTTGAAGGAGAGTTGGAGGTCGTGGAAGAAGAGGCTGACGATCTCCAGACTCATCATCCATATTCCATATTCATGTATTACTTGTGATTGTGTGTGTGTGTTCATGTAATTTGCGTCAGTAAATCCACACATTTTATTACTGTGTTTGAGTGTGCCTCCATTTGTGATATTTCTCTATGAGCATACATTTCTGGCTACAAACGATATATGATACACCCACTGAACTGCATTGCTGGGGTGCAGATATAATAACCCAGCTGGCGACCTTGCTAAGAGGAAGATAGAGAAGACAGGCGGGAAAGGAGTTCCTGCAACCTTTTTTTTTGTCTGGCAGGCAAGACTCAGAGAGGCTATGGTTATAGGTAAGCCTGAGTCTTCCTTCACTCCCCCACGGGTCTAGGCCGGAACTGTTAACAGCAGTTTCCCCGTGGTTGACTGAAGGGCTTCCAGGGTGAATCAGTGGCACCCCTTTGTGGTGGAAGCAAAGACCTGCGGAGGTGGGCATTGTTGGTCCTATCTTGTGTGACCAAGGAGACTCCGGTGAATCCAGGGAGTCGGAGGGGCTGAGTATTTGGGCCCTTTGAGCCCCTAGCAGCCGAGTGTTAGCAGAGCCCCGGACCGCCCACCCCCCACGTGACAAGAGACTGGCGACCTCGCCAGGATTCGAACCCCAGTAGCCAAGAACTGGGAACTTCGCCAGGAAGCGTGGATCAAGCTACAGTGTGGACCAAATTGCAAGACAAGTGTTGCCAGGGTACTAATACAGTGTGGCCAGTGAATTCGGTGGTACTGTTACTCGACCAGCTAAGGGACTGAAACGGTGAAATTAGTGCCTACTAACTTGTCTGTGCTGTCGTGTATGCTCAATGATATGGAGATGGAGGAAGACAAAGTAAAGAAATTTATTGACACAAGGGACGAGAGAATTTTAGAAGAGTGTACCAAGGCCCAGCTCCAACAAGTGGCAAACCACTTTGGGATCAGGTTGAGGACGACTAAGGTAGCGGAGCGAAGGATAGAGATCATGGCACAGCTCACAGCTCGAGAGGAAGCGACGGGAGAGGAGCCATCTCAAGAGGAGCCGTCCCGAGGAGAGCCGTCGCAAGGTGAACCGTCCCGACTAGGGCCCCCCCAAGCGCCTACCAGTGTGGAGAGAATTCACAGTGAGCATGGGAGCAGTGGAAGGTCCAGCTGTAGTAAGAGGAGCCTGCAACTGGAAATAATGAAGATGCAACTGGAAGCCCAGCTGCAGCGGGAGGAGCGAGAAGCACGGCTGCAGCTGCAGCGAGATGAGCGAGAAGCTCGGCTGCAGCGAGAAGAAGGAGAGAGACGACTGCGACTGGAGGAGATAAAGGCAAAGAAAGAAGTCGAATTGCGTCGCGTTGAACGTGGTCTGCCCTCACTACCTGCACGGCGGGATGACCTCAAGGTAAGGGAACGTGACTTACCTACGTTCGAACCACAAGAAGCTGAGGCGTTCTTCGAACACTTTGAACGGATAGCGACTCTGAAGGAGTGGCCGGAAGATGATTGGGCTGCTCTGGTCCAGGGCAGGTTGACTGGAGAGGCCCGGGAAGCCTATAACATGCTGGACCTAGAGGAGTGTACTAGTTACGACGCGATTAAGAATGCGGTTCTCCACTCATTCCGGCTGACTCCGGAGATGTACCGGAAGCGGTTCAGAGAGTGTACAAGAGCGTCGGGAAAGACTTATGCCGAGACCGCCAGGGATATGGAACGGAAATTCCTACGATGGTTGAAGGCGGAGGAAGCGGAGTCGGTGGATGATATCAAACGACTGATAGTGATGGAGAAGTTTATGTCAGTGCTCCATCCTGAGTTGCAAGTAAGGTTGAGAGAAGCAGGTATTAAGGACCTGAAGGCTGCAGCGGATCGAGCCGACATGCTGGAGGAGGCACTACATATCAGGAGGGAGGGGCCGCCCAGACACTCGCCTTACCCCAGGTCGGGAGGGAACTTTAGGAGTTCAGGAGGAGCGAGGACGAGTGGGGACTCTCCCAAGAGTAGTGTGCCCGATGAAGTGACGCGGTTCAAGAGCTCAAAAGACGCGGGGAGGAAGCCCCAAGCTGTGAGCAGTGGACCTAACTCGGGAGCAAGTGCTGCAGTCCCGGATACGATGACAAGGAGTCCAAGGAGGACCCAGGGGACGTCCGCGAGTGGTACCGCCAGAGTGACTAGCGAGTGGCCGCCCAGGGGAGGTGGCCGATGCTACAACTGTGGCGTGAGAGGACATTATGCCCGCGAGTGTGAGGAGCACCAAAGGAATGTAGGATTAATGTTGGAAGAGGAGAGAGTGTTTGTTCACACCCCATATTATAGTGGACCCAACGTGAATGGTTGGGAAATGAAGTTGGGTGAACATCCCTTCGTTTTCGAGGCCAACGTGAAGTTTGGAAAGTCAGACCCAGTGGAGGTTGCCGTGCTTCGAGATACGGGTGCTGACATAAGTATGGTGACCAGGAGTATTCTCCCCAAGGAATTTAATGATTCACCTGTGGGAGTGGTGAGGATACGCAGTGTGGGGGAGGAATACAGGTTGCCACTTCACGAAGTACAGCTGATTGCCGACTGCGGAGTCGAGAAAGCTATAGTAGCTGTAGCCCCTAAGTTACCCCTAGAGCATGTACAGATGGTGCTGGGTAATGACCTCGGAGGAGGCAGGATACAACCCGATTGGGCCAGGAGTGCCTATGTTGCAAGCAGCAGTACAACCCTGCCAGGTGAGGTATCGGTCGTTCCAGATGGTAGTGAGGAAGCCGACATCGACAGGGAAAACGTCGCCAGAGACGACGACAACGAGGGCGAGAGTGCAGAGAGGTCGCCGGAGGTTGTGGAAAACCCCGACGGGGACCTCCGACTAAGCCTGATGATGCGTATGGAGGAGTGGCGAGGAGCAGCTGTGCAAACGCCTGGGGCGGTGAAGAGGCTGCAGACCGCACTCCCTCCATACAGAAACGTGAATAAAGTAAGCTCAGTGGATGAGCGAACGGCAGTGAGGGGCAGAGTGGAGGAGCCACGACGCAAAGCACCCTATGCCGGCCAGATGAATAGTGGTAGGTGCAAGGTGAACCACCGTGGTGAGGTGAGCCACAGGGAGGTGGATGAGCCCGACCACGAACCGAAGAAGACGTCTGCAGGGAAGAGAATCTCATGGAGGAGTGAAGATGTTCGTCGGGAACGAAGGAGTGAGTGGTATAGGAAAGGCAATACGAAGAAAGCAGGGAATCGGTACACCCAGGGTAGGCGCCAGCCTAACCAGAGGGGCATTGGGCCATCGCAA